CCACCCCCACCCCCAGGATATCATTTACATTTTGTGTGGGGAGGGGGGGGGGAGGTATAAATCTAGAAACTCGGGTGCAATCTATAGGAGAAAACTTGATTCCTATTCTATCGAAAATGACATTGACTGTATCTGGCTTTTATTTGCCCAAATTAATGCCAAAAATCCCTGTAGACATTTTGCCTGTGTTGTAAGGTTTAAAACTTCTCATTTATATATAAACTGTTTTGATGTAAAAGTGTTTGTACGTATTGTGATCCGGATAATATATATATGTGAATGATAAAGAAACTTACTGATACAGCTTGGTACATGTATTATTGTGTCTATAATTGATCAATAACTTCCTCGTGTAAGTGGTGCGAGGTAGTTTACACATGTATTTTTAATGGATTGAGGATTTCTGTCATCCCCCAGAAAGTGTTCATACATTCAAGATGTATAAATGATGAGTTGTATAGTACACAATGCAGTACAGGACTTGTCAGGTGCTAAAACCCACTCATGTTTCACAGGCTGCGTCTAACAGACTGTCAGAGAAAGACAAATATACTATATTATTGATCACAGCCTCAATGGTGTTGTTTTTTAGGGGTGAAGGTGTTACGTTCTGCAAAGATGAATTTTGATTAAAGCAGTTAAGTAGATTTGTTTTGAAAGGAAATATTTAAACTTTTGTTGTTGAATGGATGAGTTTCAGTGGTAAAATGATTAGGTGATGTTACTACCGGGCCGGATATCTTCTTAGGAACAGTTAGTATAGCCTTTATAATAGGGGCATTGTGTTATTAGTCAAAATCTCATATTTTATAGGTGTATAATACATACGTCATTGTATGGTATAGCACTGTGCCAGCAGTGTTGCACATATTAGTTTTGAAAGACTAAATTTGAAATGTCACTTTATTCATTTTTTGTGTCATTCCAGCTAAGCGTGTTACAGAATAGAAAGCATGTCATAGACAACACTTATAGGGTCATTCTTACTAAGTAGGTCACTGTAAACACTTATTAAGGGTAACTCCACAGAGTACAATTATTGGGTCATTCCAGTTAAGTGTGTCACTGAATATACTTATTGGGTCATTCCAGCAAAGGGTGTCATTCCAGCAAAGTATGTCACTGAATACACTTATTGGGTCATTCCAGCAAAGTATGTCACTGAATACACTTATAAGGTCACCCAAGTTCAATGACACTGCATACACTTATTGGGTCATTCTCAAAAAGTGTGTAACTGAATACACTTATTGGGTCATTCTAGCAAAGTATGTCACAGAATACACTTATTAGGTCACCCAAGTTCAATGACACCGAATACACTTATTGGGTCACCCAAGTTCAATGACACAGAAAACACTTATTGGGTCACCCAAGTTTTATGACACAGAATACACTTATTAGGTCACCCAAGTTCAATGACACCGAATACACTTATTGGGTCACCCAAGTTCAATGACACAGAATACACTTATTGGGTCACCCAAGTTCAATGACACAGAATACACTTATTGGGTCACCCAAGTTCAATGACACAGAATACACTTATTGGGTCACCCAAGTTCAATGACACAGAATACACTTATTGGGTCACCCAAGTTCAATGACACAGAATACACTTATTGGGTCACCCAAGTTCAATGACACAGAATACACTTATTGGGTCACCCAAGTTCAATGACACAGAATACACTTATTGGGTCACCCAAGTTCAATGACACAGAATACACTTATTGGGTCACCCAAGTTCAATGACACAGAATACACTTATTGGGTCACCCAAGTTCAATGACACAGAATACACTTATTGGGTCACCCAAGTTCAATGACACAGAATACACTTATTGGGTCACCAAAGTTCAATGACACAGAATACACTTATTAGGTCACCCAGGTTAAATGACACAGAATACACGTTTTAGGTCACCAAAGTTCAATGACACAGAATACACTTATTGGGTCACCCAGGTTAAATGATACAGAATACATTTATTGGGTCACCCAAGTTCAATGACACAGAATACACTTATTAGTTCACCCAAGTTCAATGACACAGAATACACTTATTAGTTCACCCAGGTTAAATGACACAGAATACATTTATCAAGCTCATTACAGAAATGTTCTTTCTAAGTTTTTGTTTGAAGAAGATTATTTCTTAGTTCCCTTTGTATGTTTGCTATAAATTCGATTTGTTGTACAAATGTAACAAAAATGTTTGGAACACTTGATCTTACTAAAAAATTGGATTTTTAGTGTTTGTTCTATTCAAATTCAATGTTAGTCCATGTTTGTCCCATCTAAAACTGCTGAGCAAGACGAGACCATATCAGTTTTGAATGTGGAAGTGTAAGGCAACCAGAGCTGGATCATAATTCAGCCGGGATATTAAATTGATCCTTAACCTTTCACCACTATAGACCATAATGGACTCATCCAGATCAATACATGATAGTATCTACTCAAGTTATATGGGGGTGAAAGGGTTAAACAATACAATATTATTCATCTATGACTTCTCCCTTATGAAAATATTACTTGTCATAAACAAATTAACAGACTTATTTGTTTAGGTGATGAACGAGTAAAAGACAAATCTGATAGAAATAACGAAGTTCCCATTCAACCCGGACTGTTTAAAAGAAAATAAAGTTGTTAGACAGCTCTAGGTGATTTTTTTGTGTGTGTCATTTGAGTTGGAACACCTACAATATTTTTTGACCATATGCAGAGGCTGGCAACTTTCCCTGGGCAACTCTCCCCACGTAAATTGATCACAGCAACATTATATAATCGCTAAGCAGAAGGTGGTAGGGATATAAAAGTTGGATTCACATTTTGTAGCACGTAAATTGCTCACGGCAACATTATATAATTGCTAAGCAGAAGGTGGTAGGGATATAAAAGTTGGATTCACATTTTGTAGCACGTAAATTGCTCATGGCAACATTATATAATCGCTAAGCAGAAGGTGGTAGGGATATCAAAGTTGGATTCACATTTTGTAGCACCTCAAAGCACCCTGGATTGGGAAACTAAGTAATATTTACTGCAGAAATGGAGAACTCCTTGTCATCTTTACCAACGGACAGAATCAGTAGCCCGGAATGTTCATCATCTGTGACAGGAGAAATGGATAGCCCTGTGTTGGAGGAAATAAGTGAAAGTATTATTTTGTCACCAGAGTGCACGATTGAAACTCCTGTTTTGTCATTTGAAATGGAAAAAATATACTCATTTGTACTTTCAAGTCCTGATTTGCCGTTTCAGATGGAGGCGATTATAAAGAATATGCAACAGGATGACAAAGGCATTACGAGTAGAAACAGGAAAACACATCCTCTAGTGGATAGGAAAATATTCTCAGGTAAGACCATTTTTATTTATTTATTATTTTTGTTGTTAAATATTGTACCTTACGCCGTGATTATATCTGTCAGCTTCAGGGTTTGTTCTGTTTCAAAATTCTAAGGTTATTTTTCCATCCTTCTTAAATCATATATAGGTTATACATATGTTTGATGATTAATAAAAAATCATATTTTTAAACTAAAATCAAAATGAATTGATCATTTTTTCTGGTCATTTTAGAGACACAAAGGGGTTAATTCTCTTTAAAAAAATGATGAAATGCAATCCACTTTGTTTGAACCCTTTCACCACTGTAGACCATAATGGACTCATCTAGATCAAAGGATGGAAGAGTTTACTAAAGTTACATACGGTAGGGGTGAAAGGGTTTAATACTGAAATGAGGTGTGGAAGATAAGTTTTTTATTTTACACTCAAATGTCTATTGCATGCTGGTCTGTGTTTTATATATTGTTTTGTGATAATTTAACAAGGATGTTTATAGACGATTAGAACTATTGAATTAAATATCAAACTAGAAAGATGTGAATTATCTATGAAAATTCTCTTCTCCGTATCTGAGTTTTGTCTGTATGTACGTACTGTGTATAATGCACTGTTCAGACCAATAAGTATAAAGGTGCAGTTTAATAAAGAACAATGATCTTCTACAATGTAGTGTGACAATGGCCTACACTACCTCACTTAGTCACTTGTGTGGCGTGATATTGACCAAACAATGTTTTTAAACATGAAAGAATTACCAGAAGTTTTATCATCTCTTTCAAGTAAACCTTATACTTATAGCTGTGAGTACAGGCTAACATCTCTTACAAAGTGGGCGATAGCCTGGAACAGCCTAACCCTTTCACCCCTTTGTAACTTTAGTAGACTCTACCATGCATTGACCTGGATGAGTCCTTTATGGTCTACAGTGGTGAAAGGGTTAAGGATGCTCGTACCTTAAAAAAGGTAACTTTAAAAGCATTTGAAAATGTTTTCCCAGCATCACTACAACTTTCGTAAATCTTTTATGAAAAGAAAACCATACCTTGCCACACTTCTACGAAAAAAAGATAAAGACGAAATAAACAAAATATAATCAACAATAGTGTTCTCAGTGTAAACTGGACCGGATTTGAACCCTGGTCTTCAGATTGTTATGCTATCTCTAACAGACTGAGCTTCCTGATCAAAGACAGTGTCCTGGCCCAGCTGTGCTACAGTTACATCAAAAACCGATATTAAGGGGAGGTTACTGTATATAGGAAAAAACACAGTATCAGAGGGACAGGGATCCTTAAGTTTTATAACGAGGATAAGAAGTATTAGGGAGGAGCGTTGTTCTCCCTATACAGAGCTTTGGATAAGTATTGAGTGTTCATGAGACAATCAATAAATGAAAATGTACTGCATAGTTACGTCACAGTTAAATGTGAAGTGTTTGTCAGTTTAAAAATAATGTGGTCGTCAATAGCTGTGTATCATGGGTTCATTCTTCTTTCTAGTATGTAACTTCTGATCAGTATGTTAGGATACTTACTGTTAAAGTAAAACATCTATCATGTTTTATTAGTACTATCTGTGACAGTATATATATAACCTTCATTAGGTCCCCTAGTGCCGAGTGCCTGTCCGCTTACGTGGTGGCGTCTGTGGTTCAGCTTCACCTTTTTATTTCACCTACAGAATCTTCTTCAGATCCATAATGTATGGAGTATTGATACAAAGGTTGTATCTTGCAGGGTTGACAGCTACTTAGTTTATTTTAAATGTATGGCCTTGACCTACTTTCCACATAACAGATCAAATATCTTAAAGTTCAAACACAAATTCTTTTAATGAAAAGACCCATAATGCCAAGATTAACTGATTTACCCCTGAAATGTCATAATGAACTATTGCAACCTTTGAATTAGAAGAGTTCAAATGTGTCTTCAGGGGTGAATGAGTTCATGATATTCAAACCAGTGTTGCTGCAGTGAAGGGTTAACAAGTCTCTTCAAATAAATTATATAACCTGCTGTCTACTGTTTACTGGGCAGCTTTCACCCTATGTAAATTTCGCCCTTCACATGGTGATTACTCTATGGACTGAACTTTGTATTAATTTTCGCTGTCATGATAAATTTCCCAGCATATAGAATATACCAGAGGTCAAATTTGTTTAAATATTCAAACTACTTCTAAAGATTGAAAAGGCCTTGTTGATATTTACCTGTAGCATTCTAGGGTGAATATATCTCAACTTTGTTGGAATAAATAACCTTGACCAACTCTCAAGGTCACAGGTATCAATTGTGTCAAATGACTTCCAAAGATCTATGGAGTGTAGGACATGGTATATGGCATGTAGCTTGGTGGGAAAAGGACCGTCATTTTTTCTGTAAAATCACCTTGACCTTATTTCATGAATGAGAGGGGTCAAATAAATTTAAAACTTCAGGCATAAAATAGCAAATTTTGGTCTGTGGCTTGCTAAGGTAACATTAGCTACCAAGTTTGTTCAAAGAAAAGACCTAGACCCACTTTGAAGGTCATTTGAGTAAATGAATTTAATATCATCTAATAAAGAATCATAATCAAATTTGGCATGTACATGTAGTGTAAGTTTGCTTAGTATCAAGTTTGTTTTCCTTAATTTGACCTTGACCTACTTAATTACACAGATATACATATAAGGCTATATACTAAGTGATGCAGGCCTGTTGGACATCTTGTATTTGTATAAGAGATGGAATAAGGTTAAAAGGATGTGTAATGAAATGAAGTAGTTTATTCTACATTGGAATTAAATGATCACATCTCTAATTAGAGGTGTATTAATTATGTTAGGATATATAACACACTTACTAATTAGAGGTGTAATCATGTAATTGGAATGTATAATGAACTTATAGAAACAATAGTATTGTATTCTACTTTTAAAAACCAATGTATTACCACATGTCAAGATTGATTAAAAAGATAAAGCAGTTAAATAGAAAAGTAATTTTAATATTTCAATAGAAAACAGATGCATTATTGAAGTGAACTCATAATCAAGCTAGAATATGTACAGGTTGAAAAAGTAAGACGGTAGAATTGGTATTGGGCTAAAAATATAACTATTATTTATTTATTGAAAATGTGTTTGTGCACAACAGTTAAATTGTGGTTAAGTAGATAATGACGTCAGAGGATCCACTTTGCCTACAGGTAACCGGGGACAACCCACTGCCAGAGCAGCATCAGTCTGTAGTTGATATTGGTGTGCGGACAATCGAGGCATTGATTGTAGGAATATCTTGAGGGATATTGGTACTGTAAATGGGGTGGGTGCGTAGTTTGTAATTGATAACTACACTCTAACACTCCAGTCGACATTCATCAATAAAGCTAATTAATTCAATTGCTTACCTCATTACAGTTACCTGATGATTCTATATATACCTGGTAATGGTTGCCGTGGACTGCTGCGTGAGCAGGTTCACTGAAACCAATATCTCCAGTATACAGATTAATAGTTTTTATACCTTTGATAGAATATCTGCTTTTAACTTGATGCAATCAAAATCTGGTACTGTAAGTATATTTATTTTAGCACAATCAAAATTTAGCAGAACAAAGGTGGAAGCTGGGACTTATAAACAAATTCTTTAATTGGCGAAACCAATGAGCACCTAAAGTCATTAATTAGCGCAAATGTTGCTTTTTAGAAAGAAAAAACTATAGGTTTAATATACTGGGGGTACAGTGGGTGTCAGGGAACAAAGATTGGAGAGTCTGGTATCTCAGGCAACTTCCTTAGAATGAAATAAATTTTTGATTTACGTATAAGTTGGTGTCATTTACTTGTCCAGACTTATATCCTATATTTTATGGAAAGTGTGTACTTCAGAAGTTTACAAATAAATTTCTGCTTAATTCTTGTTTTCCCTCAAAATTTGGTTTTGTTTGTTTGTACTTCCTATTATACCAGCTAGAAAAACCACCAACCTGCAGCCACTATCTGGCAATTGCCCGACATAGGTCTTCAACCCGCAACCCAGTGGTGGAGCCTCAAAGTTTGTTTGGATCTTTTGGCTGCATTAACTCATTCACCCCTGAAGACACATTTGAACTCTTCCAATTCAAAGGTTGGAATAGTCTATTATGAAATTTCAGGGGTGAATGAGTTAAGCTACTGTTTATGTATGTAGTTGTATGGCGAGCATTTGATTGTGGTGAACAGTGATTAAGGATTCATTTGTTTGAGGTTGAATAACAAAGCAGTATAGTGATGAAGTATGTGTGTGTTCTTGTTAATAATTCACTGAACTTTAGAATAGTAGTGCTCAATCTATGTTTTACTGTAATCTTTTGTTGTTGGTATCTATGCTCAGTATATGAATCAATTGTGTATCTCTGTCCTAAAGCATTGATCATTAAGTTTTGTGTATCAGTTATCTATGACCTAAATGTTTTATCCAGTAACTTTTGTTGAAATGGTTTATGAATAAGGATTTATGGCCTTAACTCATTCACCCCTTAGGAAACATTTGGCCTCTTCCATTTGAACGGTTGGAATAGTTAATTATGAAATTGCAGGGGTGAATGTGTTCGAGTCTCCTTGGTATTTACTGTTGGTGATGGTTTGTGGATCAGTATGTACAGACAGTCTATAATCCAGTTACTGTCACTATATAGCTTCTGGATTGTTACGTCCCAAACTCCTGGTCCAGTAACTATCAGTGATCGTTTGTAGACCGGTCTGTGTGTTAGTACAAGTAGGATTATAATTTAGTAGTGTCTATATTTTCATTTGCTGCTGTTTATGGTTTTGTATAATGTTCTAGTATGAAATGTGCTGAAAGTGTTATCCAACTCCGTTAATGAGGTCACAAATAAGGTCAAGGTCAAAGAATTATATACAACGTGCCCACTGGGAAATTATAAGAATGTTATATGATCAGGATCAAATGTCAAGGGGTTTCATAATGGCCCTTAAGGAGGCATCGTTGATATACTACTTGGTATGTATGTTTCACACATCAT